GGTATATGTGGATGATCTTAACATTTGGAAGGGATATATATATATATATATATATATATATATATATATATATATATATATATATAACCTATAGGGGTAACAATGTCATTAAAATTGGAGATTTCTATTGGCAACCATTTTTGCTATTTATAACCTCGTTTTAAGAATCTTTAATATTCCTAAGATACCCTTATGTAAATGAACATAAACGTCATCAACTTATCACTTAATTCTAACAAACTCTTCAACTCCTTCCATACAATTTTTCCTTCCCCTTCTTCTTCTTCTCCTAATTGCTGGAGCATCTTTCATCGTCAATTATGCAAAATGACAAGAAAACGAGCAATAATCAAATGGGATGATCTGACGATCGAAGAGGAAGAGGTGGAAATATATATATTTTTTAATGCTTGTTAGATCGATTTAATGATTTTAGGGCTTAAGATGTCAGATTACCAAAAGATGATATTCCGAGCATTTCTACAACATCTTGAAAGATGTCGTCTTCTGGGTTAGTATGCATCAACCCAAAAGATATCAAATTTCAGGCCATCTTTTGGCGTTATAGGAAATAAGGGTATGATTGGTAATTGAAGGATTATATTTAGTAAATATATATATATATATATATATATATATATATATATATATATATATATATTAAGATGGTTGCAGGGGTTGCCAATGGCAAAAAGGGATTGCCAGTGGCAATCTCCTTTAAATTTTGCAAAGATAGATATTCAAAAAGCCCTTTTAGAAAATTAGATCCTTGACAAGTAAATTCCAAAAGCAATACTAACCCGGAAGCCAAATACTCACTTGTCTCAAACGAAAACTACCTAAAAGAGCCAAGAACTCACTTATCTCTACAGGATCCACCAGCCTCGATGGAGAGTGAGGAAACAGCATACCGGCTCACGAGATCAAGGTAAAGCCGGTAGGCCTCCGGCTGCGCCCATCGACGAGGGATCACCCTGAACTCATCAAGATACGAGAAACATGTGAGAAAAATAAAGGAATCGAGAATCGAAAACGATCAGGTAGATCACAGGATCCGATCCATGCCTGGGCTTGAGGAGAGCTAGGGTATGGATGGGGGAGACGACCCGACACGACATCGCCTGGTCGAGGAGCTTCCACATGGACGGGGTGTTGTTGGCGAAGCAAAGGTTGGAGACTAGGACGTGCGCTAGCTCGGGGTTGGGGAGCCCTAGGCCGGCCTCCTGGACGCACCGCGCCGCCTCTACCGCCCGCAGCAGCGGCGGGTCGCCCCGCTCCTCCGACGCCTTCACCGTCGCCATGACGCGCCGCTCCAGTTCAGCAGCCGTGTCCCCACTCTCACCCACCTCCATCGATGTCCCTCTCTCTCCGTCTCTCTCTCTCTCTCTCCTTCTCCTTCTGTGAGTCGGCGCTGTGGAAGAGATAACGGTAGAGGCGGAACGCCTGCGAGAGGGAAATGACATGGAAACGCCCGAGGCTTATTTAAATGACTACGATAGCGGGTCCCATCTCTCCCCAGCGACGATGACCGTCGGATCGGTCGTCTTGATGAAACTTGATCGCGTGAACGAGAAGGAAGATATCCGAACCGACCGATGGCCAGCTACCCAACGGGGGTTGTTTTCGGTACGGGTGTGGTGGTCCCGCCAGTAAGTGAGAGAGCTGCCCCTGTTGGGTACTTTTGGGATGGTCAATGTAAACTGCAATGGAAAACTGAGGTTGTTTGGTCTTCCAATCAAACTGACTTCGGTGGCGTCGGTCAATTTGTAAGCTTTGATTTAATCGTTAACCGATTCTTAACGGTATGTATCCAACGCAACGCCTGACAGAAAAAGACAAAATCAATCGAGTAGTTTTCACATTTATCCCTTCAAAATGAATGGCATGGATAAATAAATTGCTCATTTATTCTTGCAAAATTACCGATGTACTTAATTAGTAGGATTGCCATGTTAGAACTTCAATAGACATTAATTCCTCCTTAATTGACATTAATTCTCCTTAATTGACATTCAACGGAAGTTTTATGCCCGACGGTCAGAAAAATCCAGTGGAGAAAGAATGTTAAGGCTCAGTCATGAGAATTAACAGTAAGAAATTTAAAAGGCGCTTCTAATTTGCTGCAGTCACAGTAATAGGAAAATTGAGCTGTTGGCCGACGCCGTCTCATCGCTGCTGCTGCTGCAGCGGATGGGTCTCGCATCGTCAGGTGATGGAGACGCGTGGGTTTGACTAAGAATTCCTTACTTCCTTCTGGAAGGGAAGGCGGCAAAGAAAAGGTGTTGTTGCGTGGGGTGAGAAGGACCGGTGCAGTGCGTGGCTGGAAACAACGCGACCGTGGGAAATGGTTTAGTGTTGGGTAGAAACGAAGGTCGGAGTGGAGAGTTTGAAGCACCGGTGGCACCAACCTCTCTTGGGTGTCATTTAAGTTGAATTCAGGTATGGGATGGAAGAGAAGGCGAGGATGAGAAATTAAGGCAAACCATTGACAAGTCCACCACCAAGTCAATGGGTTGACTATTAGGAGAAATCGACTTCTAATCCCTTACGTTTTGGAGCGTGTGGGTGCTAATATGTTTAACCTATACCGCTTTCGTGTCAAGACGGATAATCTTGAGCTAGTGCAAATGTTTGACCGTACAATATTGATCCCTTGGTTGATGGCTGTATAATATCTGAAATGATCCATCCTTCTTCTAACTAAAGAGTTCAATGTTTTTAGATCGGATTCACTGATATCATTAGATAATCAAACTACTCTATCCACTCGCTTTGGAACGACGTAAGAATTTCATGTATTTCTATCATATCGAACCTTTAAGATTTTGAAATTTTCGATATCCTCCTTTAATGAATTATTTTTAATGTATGTAATATATATACATGAATTGAGTATGACGAACCCAACTCTTGCAATTGCTCAGGATATTTAATTTTACTTTTAGATCTATTATATCTTAATTCAAGATTCCTCTTACCAACTAAAATAATAATAATAAATCTATTCTGCCCAACTTAAAATGAAAATGAATTGAGATTATAAACTTTTAATCATGGAATCGATTCGATTATATCATAATAGAATAATGTACATTAAAGATGATATATATATATATATATATATATATATATATATATATATATAAGATTGAAGAATAATGTTAATTTACTTGTATGAACGAACGATTTTACTGTAATATATATTGGAAAAAAAGAGTGAATATAGATGTGACTTGATGGGACGCGAGTAATGGCCATCGCATTCCCGCTGCCATCCTAATCGAGTGGGTATCTTACAACACACGTCAAACTTGTGATAGGTGCAGATGCCATGAATGAGAGGGGAGGGGCTCATTGACCGTGTGCTCAAGCACACGGTCGGAGCATGTTGCGTTGAGCAGCGCATCAGATCTAAACCTATATATCGAACAGGATTCGAACCATTCATTCTATGCTCGATCAACTTGTGGGCACAAATTGTTGGAGCATGGAACGTTGAGCTAAAGATCGAGATAGGTCAATTCCGTGAGACAGAAGCCACAGGAGGATTAGGGAAACAAAAGCCAAAAAGAAAGAAAAAGAGATATATTGTCCTTGGGCCTCATTCTTACCGTCAGATTCCACTTCAATGGTCCCTGATGGACAGTGGAATAGATCACTTGCGGTAATTAGCAAGGAAAAGTGGATGGATCATGGGCCGTTGATCAGGCGCCCCAGACGGTGATGCCCTGCATCATATGCTTAAACTCCCCGAAATCGACCCGGCCGTCGGAATTCTGATCGACGGAGCAGATCATCTCTTGGACCCGGGCGATGCTCCGCCCCTCCGGTAGCCCCAGCTTGGCGAGCACCGCCTGGAGCTCCGCCGCCGAGATGAAGCCGTCCCCGTCCTCGTCGAACACCCGGAATGCCTCCCTCATGTCTTCCTCCACCGTCCCCTCCTCCCCTTCCATTTCTTCCTCCATGGCAGCGGGGCCGCCGAAGAGCGCGTCGCCGAGTGCTCGGTGGAGGGCATCGAAGTCCTCGAAGGCCAGGCCGGCGCGGCCGGTGGGGATGTAGGCGGCGACGGTGGATCTGAGATCGTCGGCGTCGGCGTCGGCGCCGAGGCCGAGGCGGTCGAGGGCGAGTGCGAGCTCCTCGATGGTGATCTCCCCGTCGCCGTTCTGGTCGAAGAGATCGAAGATGCGGCGGAGGCGCAGGGTGTTGAGGCTCTGAGTCCGGAGCCGAAAGGAGGAAGACGGCCGGCCGAGGGTCGGTGTCGGCAGGCGGGTGTCGGCGGCGATCCCTCCTTCCATGGCTCCTTCACGGGTGGGTTCGGGCCCGTTGACGACGGGACGAGACTTTGGGAAGACGGGGCGGGGAGAAACCAGCGGTGGTGGTGGGGATTTATATAGAGCGACCAAAACCGTGGGAAGGCCGCGTGAACCGTCGTCGGCAACGGCTTATAGGGAAGAAGCCGTTGCCGCGTGAACCGTCGTCGGCAACGGCTTCTTCCCTATAATAATTTCTGATTATTTTTTGGTAATATTATGAATATATATATATATATATATATATATATTATATAATTTAACTTTAACATATATGAAATTGAAAAGCTTAAATTTAGGGATCTTTAAAGGTACATAATATTAAGGAGAAACACATTATTTTCGTATATCACAAGAAAAAAAATATATTAACACCTCATTTTTCAACTTTTATATTTTTAATTTTTTTTTCTGAAATATCTTATGCTATTCAATGCGTTGAATTGAACCCTCTCACTATTTTGGTCTATGGTGGCTTGTCGGCCAATTTAATGAGTTTGTCTCGCGTGGAAGTTTGGTAACCAATGACAGTGATGCTTTTTGAACATATGTCAAACATTAATCAATGTTTTTCATCTCCTTGGAATTAAATGTCACCACCAAAGATAAGGAACTATCTATAAATAAAAAAAAAACTCAATTAACATTATTTAAAAAAGATTTATATGTTAAATCACCAACAAATCCAAATCTAATTCAATCAGACTGTTGTTATAACATTTGCATTGAAACTCCGAGGACTATAATCTTTTTTTTTTCTCAACATAGAAAAGAACATTTGGGAACATAATTTCTTAACTCCTGGAAAGGGGAAGCGCAAGTTGGAAGATTTACATGTCGTCGGAGGAACTGCTCGTCTTCTTGCACGCGGGTTCGATGACGAGGAGCTTAAAGAAGACAAAAAATTAAGGATTCTTTCCGAAAGCGGATTTGGTTGCATCTATCAGGACAATCTCTTCTTTTGACTAACCACAGTGACATCTATGACCATCTACAACCAGTTCTCGATGAATAGCAGAAACTCTGATTAGGTTGTGATCTCTGTTGATAGACATCTTCAATTTGAGAGGTGGGATTGAAGAAGCTATCTGGAGAGGAGCTACGTTTACTGATCTTATAGAGTTTCGCAGGAAGACTCAACCAAGTTCATCCGGCTCAGAGATATGGTATACAGATATCTTGTAGAATTAATTGATAAATTTTATTTATTTAGGTGATAAGTATTTATATAGATTTTTCTCGAATCACGTAATCAAATTAATTATTCAAGTCCGTGATTGACCCTCAAATCGTAGATTAATCGAGGACGCAAGAAATGCAAGGATATCATTCTATGTGTCTTTATCATCATCTTATATCATGCTCATATAAGATTGAGTTTCTATCCATGATATCGATCTTGGATCGATATAACTAATATCTCCTACGAGCAAGAGGTTCTATAAGAGAGTATGTTAGTTGATCATAAGTATTTACGTGAGAAACATGTCGTTGATGTTTGACAACTTGATCTCTAACGAAGTGGAATTCGATGACAATATGTTTCGTGCATGAGTGGAACACTAGAATGACACATAGGTATATGACATTAATATTATCACAGTATATTGTAGGAGTATATTGAAAGATGATATTAAGTTTCTGTAACAGATTGGTGACCCAGTTGAGTTTTGCAGTGGTAGTGGCGATGGTGAATATTATGATTGTTTTCTATTTCTTGAAACTCCAACCGATTGTATTTGCTCCAAAGAGATAATATAGGCTGATATAGATATTCTATCATCAATATTGTCTGCCCAATTAGCATCAACAAATGCATGAAAATGAAATGATAAGTGTTTATATATAAAAAAAAATCCATGATTGAGTCCCTTTTAGATATTGTAGGACTTGTTTTACTATAGATTAATACGTACTATAGTGCTAATGCATAAATTATAATAATTTATTGACTACAAATGAGATGTCAAGTACTTGTTCATATTGTGTGAGACTACAAATGAGGCTATCACCATATAATTTAAATGATTCAGTAGTAAAAAGTGAGGTGACTATTTTTTTTGGCATTCTGCATATTCATTTTTGATAGTAGATCTCAAATATCCTTTTTTTTGAGATAGGAAAAGTTCAGAAGATGTGAATGTTGCTTCTACTCCTAAAAAGTAGTTTAAGATTTATAAATCTTTAATGGAGAATTGATCTTTTAATTACTTATAGAATTATTTGATCTCCATAGGATTATTGTCTATAGTGATAATATCATCTACATACATTAGTAGATATATAGTACTTCCCTTTTGTTGTCATAGAAGTAACGACGTGTCAAACTTGAAGTTGATAAAGTCAATTGACATAAAAAACAAGTCAAGTTCAGTATACTAAGCTCTTGAAACTTGGTAAAATCCATAAATAGTTTTTTATAGTTTACAAACATGGCATTAATATTGAGGGTGGATAAAAACAAGAGGTTACTACATAAAAACATCTTCAATTAATGTCTCATATAAAAAAGTATTATTAA